TAGCACATCGGCTTATCGAAATCCACATCTAAACATACCACAGGATTTGTATCGGCTCAAAGAGTCCAAACCCACCAACCCGAGAAGTCAAGAAGTAATCAAAGTATGCCAAAAATTGTGATACGGCTTACATTTTTCGACAACTGAAATTTTTACGTTGGACAAGAAACTCAACTTCAATAAATTGGCAACCATTGCAACCAAGTTCTTAGCAAATCCAACTTCGAAGGGATCCTGACACACTGCGAAGCTAAGAAAAATCGCCAACCAAAAGATCGGCACAATCACCTACCCAAGTGTAGCTGACCAACTTTTCGGCAAAATCACATTATATATAAAACGGACACCGATGTTTTGACACTAGTTACTTGGCAGTGCATCAACTTTATTTGTCAACTTTATGCAGCAACATTGACCACAGTATTCGGTAACTTTATTCGCCTAACAATATTATTCAGCAAAAAATTGCCCACTAGGACATCTTAGTCAATTTTCCGCTTTCTAATTGGGGCAAATCAACTGATCATCTTCTCGGCACCTCTGCTATACATGCATACTCGGCCAACTTGGTCCAAACATTACAACGACATTTACTTGAGTTACAAACTCCCGCTCCTTTTCACATAGCTCGAAGCAAGCGCCAGTTTTTAGGGCAATACATTACACGCTTGGCAGTTCGCATATTTTTATGCGCCGTCATTTTACCAAAGCCGAATTTTCCCTATAACATAGGGCAATAGGGCAAGTCCAATTTGCATTCCTTCCGACTAACACCTGTCATTCAAAAGCAACGGGGCTAGTCTACCTTAGACTAAACGCAAACCGTGCAACTCGGCAATTAAATAGTTGGCCCAATATCTACTTAGCAATTCCTTAGAAGCAGAGCAATATTATTTGTGATTAACACGTCTACCTCATTCGGTACAGGCTATCACTGACACAGGATGCATTATTCAAAATCCTTGCAATATTAGCACTTGATCGCCACTTAAAATTAGCATAAGTCTCCGAGTACAGCGTAATCTTCGCACTCAGCATGGAGCGCCATCAGCAAAGGCCTACACTCTTGCCCGGGGGTAATGATACCGTGGTCTATTTTTATGATTTGTTTGGAACTCATGTAATGTAATTTCATCCTATGATAGACATACGTGTATTTATACATACATTCAAGACATACATACATTTATCCATACATGCAGTCATTCATTCATACATTTTATTCATTTATCCATAGTGTTCTAAACTTTCGCTCCTTTTCACACAGCTCAAAGCAGGCGCCAGTTTTTGGGGCAATACATTACACACTTGGCAGTCGACAGTTCGCATATTTTTGCACGCCTTCATTTTACCAAAGTCGAATTTTCCCTGCAACATAGGGCAATGGGGCAAGTCCAATCTGCAGTCCTTCTGACTAACACCTGTCATTCAAAAGCAATGGGGCTAGTCTACCTCAGACTAAACGCAAACCGTGCAACTCGGCAATTAAATAGTTGGTCCAATATCTACTTGGCAATTCCTTACAAGCAGAGCAATATTATTTGTGATTAACACGTCTACCTCATTCGGTACAGGCCATCACTGACACAGAATGCATTATTCAAAATCCTTGCAAAATTAGCACTTGATCGCCGCTTAAAATTAGCATAAGTCTCTGAGTACAGCGTAATCTTCGCATTCAGCATGGAGCGCCATCAGCAAAGGCCTACACCCTTGCTCGGGGGTAATAATACCGCAGGCCTACACCCTCGCCCGAGGGTAATAATACCGCAGGCTTACACCCTCGCCCCGGGGGTAATAATACCACAGGCCTACATCCTTGCCCGAGGGTAATAATACCACAGGCCTACACTCTCACCCGGGGGTAATAATACCGTGGTCCATTTTTATGATTTGTTTGGAACTCATGTAATGTAATTTCATCCTATGATAGACATACGTGTATTTATACATACATTCAAGACATACATACATTTATCAAGACATACATACCATTTAATGCATACATTCAAGCATACATGCAGTCATTCATTAATACATTTTTATTCATTTAATATCCACAGTGTTTCTTTTATCAAAAACCTAACAGCTGATTTGAACTGTTAACTCGGTCAAGAAAAACTCTCCGATTCCTTCTACCGTAGACAATGAAGTTTTTGGGACAATTGTGGGAGCCAGAAAAAAATATATATATCTGCTTATTGGGGTTAACTCAAGACAAAGCCTAACATGGGTCCAACCAAAACAAATAACACACCCCTCATCTATATAAAGGGGGCATCCAGAAGAAATGATATGTGCTCTCTCGCTACACTACAACCAACACTCTTTGATTTCCATAGCTCTATTTCTTTCAAAATCAAAAGGACTAACTTTAGATCGAAGTGTCTCTGGCCGGGCAAACCTTGGTTGGGTGGTGCCGATCAATGCTCATCTGTGCAGGTTCTACTGAGTAAAGTTCATCTCTTCGTTGGTCTAAGTTCATCTCTTCGTTGGAGTCTCTACAAATCCATGTGAGAGGCATATTCATGGTAATCACAATAAAGGTACTCTTAGTTTTTGCCCTTTCAGCACAGAAACAACAAATCATTTGATATTATGTCAGGGGGAGTATTTTCTTACATCATGTATAGATTATAAAGGTGGGCTATTTTGTAATTCCCTTTGTTATACATTTCATGTTTCCAAACTATCTACCCCACGGAGCCTTATTAGTACATATATTTCCATAAGACGGTGCGTTTCCAACGCTGTTCCTGCAGACATACATTCGATCACGTGCACAACCAAAAAATGATAATTTTTATTAATCACGTGGTTCATGGAATCATTGTTTACTACTATACAGTAAACTAAACAAACCACAAGTAATGGCGAAAACTTGAATTGATTAATAAGCAAAGCAACCACCATAAGCTATCAGGCTTACATCCAACTACAGTGAAATTCAAAATGAAAGTACACATGCCTGGAAGATTAAACCAACAATGGTATACCTCTTGAGAACTTCGGAGCCTGGAGAACCTTTTTCGAGAAGCATTTCATTCCTTCTACAACAGGTCAAGAGCTAATCCACCCTTCAAAGGACATCTACTGCTGCCTCACGTGTGGGACATTTTGAATCAATACACAAACGCTATTCATACAGAATTATCTAAAAAATAAAAAAAAAATTATTTCTTGATCTCCTTGGAGAACCAGGGTAATGCTTGGGTTGTAAAAGTGGTGGGGGACCCATCGGAAATCGAGCCCTACCTTGGAGTTAAAGCTGTAAAAAAGTGAAGAAGTCAAAGAAGGGAAAATATCAGGACTTGTAGGATAGAAATTGATTTATTGTCTCATACGCGGCCT